ACGCCTCATGAATCGAATTCTGTCGAACTACTTTTTCGAACATCAAATACTACGTGAGATAAGGTAAAATTGAATGTCAGTAATTAATACCCCGTTCACTGTGACACTACGAACTATATAACGTAACAGAGTCTTGCTGTTAAGATCATACAAAGTAGTGAAAACATGATGTATGGATTCTTATATTATAATGCTGTATGACGTAAAATATAGGTTGTACTATGACCGGGGTATTATACTTATTAAAACATGCATTAATAGTTTTCTATTTTTCAAATCATCAGATATCCGTCTTGGCAGGAAAAACATGACTTGGCACTCAAAATAATTGAAGCGTTCCCACAGCTGGAGCAAACAAGAGTGGGTCCTGGAGCTCCCCCAGAGGTAAATACTTTAGTGTATCACCTCTTCATGTTACGTTACCATTTTTATTTGAATTTCTAGTCTTATTTTTTCTGGAGGTGTGGAGGGCGAAACGAAGGCTGCCATACAGGTATCATTGAGACGAGAGTTGGCAACATGAGAAAAGATGTTCCCCCCGAAGAACGACTGTTCCGTCGAAAATCAAAAACAGTCTTAAAGTTACCAGAAGGAATCGAGGACATGGCAGCATCATTAGCAACGTTACCACCTACGCCATTGAACTGCCAACGCATTTCTGATGGTATGATGAGCTGCGTCAACTTATTAAAGTGGACTCAACTACAGATTGTGAACAACGAGTATGAGCGAATTTTAACAACGTTTCCACACTTGTTATCCTATAACGGAATAATGTTATGAATAATACAATTAACACTGTTTACAACACATTTTCTCAAAACTTTTTTTTATTTTTTTAGATTCAACAAATGTTTTCAACACTTCATCCTGATTTCAACTGCAATGGATCCATAAGCAAGTTGCTAGACATCGGAATTCTCATGGACAGTTCCAGTTGGATTACTGTTGAAGATAGTAATTATTATTATTATTGAAAATTTACTGGTATTCATAAAAGGGATCATATTTAAGTGGCGTAGCATTTGGTGGGAAAGCACTGCAAAATTTGTAACCGATCGTATATCAGGTATGAATAAAATACGCTACAGAGGGAAGTAGTTTTAACTGGTTTATGGTATGCTACGCCATTTAAATATGCAAATTAGGTTAAGGTTAGGTCCACCACACATACCACAACTCTCGGGTCCCAACTGCTATTTCGATTTGTATTAACAAACCATAAAAGCAAAACTGATATCAAGCAGAGATGGGACAGCTATGTTTTTATGTGCAGTAAAGTTGACCCACTAATGGACATTCAGAACGACTCAAAAGTGAGTCAAGTTGACTGAATTTCGTCAAAAGTGGATTTGTTCGCAAAGTGAGTACAATTTTCCGCTTTTTTCCTGGAAAAAACTTCTCGAGTATGAGAAAAATCCATGAAAATTTTACTTAGTTTAGGAATATACTAATAGTTTGAGTATACTACTATCGATTTTCCTCACATATAAGAAGTTTTTCGAGAAAAAACTCGGAAAATTTTACTCACATGTGAACAAATCCACTTTTGGTGAAATTGAGTCAACTCGACTTACTTTTGAAAGAGGACGCAGAATAAAGGGGCTTGTTTATATTAAGAATTAATTTTAGTTTTACGTACGTCAAAATTAAATCAAAGACTAGCTATAAATCTGTAATTGTATGAGAAATTAATTTTATTCTTACAGAATCCGTGAAGGGAGCATTGAGGATCATCAAAAAGCTAACTAACCGTGGGGTAAAGCGAAAAGATGATGTTGAAAGCACATTGGAATAGTTGATTGCTACCCCTCTAATTCGCTGGATAAAGGTTTGTTACTAGCTTACATATTATATTTAGGACTTGTAATTATATCATAATCCATTTTCAGCCGAGTACAGAAAAACCGGAGTATCAACACGTAGTGGAACATTTACGCACCAACGGTGAGGATCCGTTACATCTGGTCTGCGTAGCAGACTACATGAAAGCTGGAATTTATTACCTAATGTTGCAAGGACATGTGCTACCAGTGGGTGATTCTGCGGTGCTGGCCATCGATGTACTTTTAAAATCATTTGCGGTGTTTGGCGTGAAAGTACCCGTATTACTGCGGAAATTTCACGAGTTAGTCTCCATTCTAGTGTGGGGCACTAAAACGCCCTGTCGGACTATTACCGTGGCAGACGTCTGTGCCTGTACCGTGAATATGATTCATGAAAACCATTGTTACACCATGTTATTTTTTCGAATGCATAATTTCTCTCTTTCAAACACTTATTTACGTACGATTGATTTTTGTAATAAAAAGCTAAAGTTCGCGTTTTAATCGAAACTCGAAGATCAATAGATTGAATGCTCATTCATCGAATGTTAAAAATAATTGTTTTCTTATGTTGCAAATAAAATTGAATAAAATTGATATCCGTGCCTTTTAATACATAAAAATTGAAAACACATGATTATTCATATACACATTATTTTCTTCCCAAAGCTGGGTAAATTTTACCTATTTCTTTCATTAATTAATTGGGTACTATTTACCTATTGGATTCTCAAAATAAATTACTCAAAATTGAGTTTTGTATGTTTACTCAATTTTACCTAGCCCCACGGAAGCCACGAGTTGGGTGAAAGGAACTCAATTTTGGGGACTTTTTTCTTACCGTGCACACGTCAAACTTCGTAAAGCATTTAAACAGCGGACGAACACCATCTCATTACGCATTACCGTGACTATTGACAATTCGTCTCTTCGGTCACTCTGTAACTCTTCACAATCCCATAAGCAAACCTCAGTCTGTGCGTGAAACTTGGTGAACATTTTCTTACCCTTTCACTCCTATGAAAATCCCATATGATTCTGTCAATTTTTGCGTGAATAAACGGCGGCTTGCTGGAGGAATGAAGAGATAAGACAAAGTCCGGTAGATTTCATGCACACATTGTCAGATGCTGATGGGATTTTATCAAGAGTAAAAAGTTGCAGAGTCGCCGTCAACGCCAATGCTTACTTTCGTAAGGGCCAATGCTGCAAACGTTAACAATTACTTTTTGTGTGAATTTCTCGAAAATGAAAACTCCTTCAAGAAAACCAACCCCATGATTGTGTAGGGAAAGAGTCCGATAAAATTAGTGGCTTACATGGATTGACTTTAACCAACGAGACATTTACGAAAGAAGCCATTATTTATGTTTTCGACATCGGTCCTTATGAATGCTCAGTGCTGATATATCACGAAAATTTTATTTTGACAGATCGATGTCCAACTATGCCAGTTACACCACTGAGGCAAAACAAAAAAGGGGTTAGATTTCAGTCAGCTTATTGCATGAAGTTCCACATATGTTATGTGACGAAAATGAGACCAAAAAAATATTCTCATTACGGTTCTGGACGTACGTATCAGATACACTTTTCTCTTCACGCTAACTTGAAAGTACCCATTAATTGGTAAAAAAAGCCCATTTTGAAGTAAAGTGTTTTAACTCATAAATGAGTTATTTTCTTACTCATTAATGGATATATGTTACCCATTAATGAGAAACTATTACAGGTTAAAACACATTTCTCCAAAATTGATATTTTTACCCATTGATGAGTACTTTCTAATTAGCGTGAAGGGGAAAACCAAGCCTACCAGTACTACACGGTCAACTACAACAACTTAGAGACTAAGATCATTTTCTTACCATACGAAATTTACTCATATTTGAAAAAAAAAAATGCAGTTACTCATAGCTAATGAGTAACTTCAGTTTTTTTTTTCAAATATTAGTAAATTTCGTATGGAAAGAAAATTCTCTGAGTCAATTGAATTCAGTCGCTGAGTTGTTGTAGTTGGCTGTGTACTGGCTCTGTTTTATTATAATATCCCGCTTTGCACGGTTACATGAATTAAGGCTGTCGACCAGGTAGAATGATACGCCCAATCGATTTAGATTAAGCTGAACCGTGGAACGGCCCTAAGCTAACAGCTGTGTCAAATCAATTATGTATCATTGGAACAACTAGCGTACGTCCGCCGACGACAGGTACCTACCATATAGTCTACGAGCTCATGACGCAAATTCACCACAACGTTCAAAGAGCAAAGAAAAAAATCAATCGTGGCGCATCTGGGATTCATTGCTGCAAGCGGAAAATGCGAAATCCCTTGAAATCAGATATAGCTACCCATAACTGGTCTCATTCGCATTCGATCTATCGTTGCCGGATCACTGATGGAACTACTAAAAGCACTAGCATGGTGCTGCCCAGATGGGACTTTTTATTCGCCTACTGTCTCCGGGTTCGTTTTTCGACGCTTCTTCGACAGACAAACGACGCTGTGGTCGATGATAGCGACGATGATGAGGACGGGGAGTCAACGCATTTCACTCGGTTCGATGAATCGTTGAACCGAGCAAAGACAGGAAGCGTATCTCAATGGAAATGGGACACTGATTTGCAGCGTGCACTTTTGATTTACGACTTTTTTTTCGAAGCATTTTCCCAGGAAAACGACTGAGCTTGGCATCGATAAATTTGATGTAAGTCGCTTCAAAAACGAGATTTGCCGATATGATCAAATTAGGGACATGGGCCGAGATTAGGATGCGTGATCCGTGAAGGATTTACGAAGCCTATATTATTTATTCTTGTTAAAAAAAAAACAATTTCGGTGATATCCTGCCACACGCAAGTCCATCAAACTCTTATTGACCACGTAAATGAATACAACCGAGACACACGATACATGCGTACGCTTCTGGAATGCAAACAAAGTAGGGGAAATGGCGCTAATGTTGGCCTATGTGTCGTTAATTCGAAGGAAAGCATTTTTTATCAATGTTTAACTAGCAACCAAAAATGTCCATTTGTATTATTCAGACGACGCATTGAAAAATTGAAGAACAGGAGATTGTTCTCGCTGGGCCCAATTTTTAGCTCCATAGGCCAACGTTAGACCCATTTGCCCTAGATTATATATATATTAAACAAACGACCCTTACTTACAGGAACGGTACCGGCCCAGCTCGGAGTTGGAGTTTTTGTTCAGCAGCACGCCCTGCGGCATGCCATCCTTCATCCGGGAGTTGATGAACTGCAAACAGCAGAAGCAGATAATTTCCTGAAAGTACACCCGGAATCTGCAAACAGACGGAAGATTAGAGACGTCCACACGAGACCGTGATGGCTATAGCTTAATGGAAATGGATGACCCAGGACCGTAACCGTGACACTCACCTGCTATTCATCCAATAGTAGATGATCGGATTGACCATCGCGTTCGACATGGCCAGCCAGTAGAAGCCCAGATAGAGCTGCTGGACGTAGCTCGAGGACGTCATCTGGTTGTTGTGGTAGGCGTACACGAAGAAGAGGTGATACGGCAGCCAGCAGATGGCGAAGATGGTCACCACGATGATGAACATACGTACAACCTGCGGGGGAGAGGGAAATGGAGCATGTTGAGTATGGATGCTGACGGTGGAAAGGCAAAAAAAAAATCCAATATCACTGCGAGCCACATCTGGATTCAATAGGATATCAGATTCCAATTGGTGAAGAACGTACAGCTTCGATGAACTTTCTACTTCTACTTTCAGTTTGATGGCGATAGTTCAAGTGGAAAATTCAAACACGACCAAATTGAATTGCTGAGTAGAAAGTTGGTAAAACTTTTTGCGGTTTCATCCGGTGTGTGAAGGCCGATTTTTATTTCACAATCCATCCATCCAGCCGGGTGGCGAGGAACAACTTTAAGCCCCTACGTGGAAGAACAAACCGTGTGCAGTAGTGAGTATCATGTACGATCGAATTATGCGACACTGGTTCAGTTCGGTTAGTTAGCATAGAAATTGAATTGAATTACTCCCATGACAGTCGTAAAGCGTACGATGACGGCACTGACACAATACTCGCAGACGGTACATGGACAACATAAAAGCATAATAAAAAAAATTCATCGCTCCCACATCGGGAAAATGCTCACCTGCTACCATAACTTGATATAAAGTGGAGACGCCACGTGCTGAGTGGAGTGCCGCACGAGTTGAAGTTTCGACTTTCTGCAAGTTGGAGACGACAAGTATAAAGCAAAAAACCGGTACTTGATACACTTTTGAAACTCAATAGTGGTCCATCCGGTTTGGGAAAATGGGTTGCTAAAGCATTCGATTTCAAAGCGGTGTCAGACGCCAATTTTCAAACATCAATCCTATTTCTATAGATACTCATATTGAAGGGTATTTAAAACCTTTTAACCGCCAAACGATGAATCGTTAAAAATTAACCTTCTCCGATTTGCATGAAACTTTGCATAATTGTTATTGTTATGGGTAGGGTTCTGCATTTTCGAAACAAAGAAAAGAATCGCTTCATTTCGAGCAATATCATTTTCGTGTTTCGAACATTCCTCCTGTCAAACCTGACTTGGCTATCGTTTGTTTCGTTCGTCCAGTTCATCAGTTCATTTCATCTGATGCAAAGACTTGTTTCAACGGACGAGTCATTCATCGAAAACTGCTTCTTTTTTTTCCACTTTCACTTCAATTCGGGACTCATTCGACTTGTCACGCGTCGCGTCGTCAGGCATCAACATTATCTCTATACATTATAAATTATCCAATCTATCATTGGATATTATCCCTATCCCTATCCTGATAATTTTAAAGTTAACGTGCTTATGGAGAAAACTGGGTAACGGTTACCCAGATGATGACATTTGTCAACTGAGTAATCCTTACCCATTTCGATAGAAACGAATGCAGGCTCCATGAATGCATATATAAATTATTTCATCCAAAAGTAATGAAAATGATAATTCCTTATTTATTGATATCAACCTATTTGTTAGAGTTGTATTTCTCATCAACTAGCTGGTGATAACTTTCGCCATCCAGGCTATTAAGTAGCTATTCATTTTCACTGCTTCACAATTGAAAACAAATTTTAGACTTACTGCGCAACAATCGCCTGCTCACAACTTCAAAGTTTGCCATTATTACATTGATATCAGAACAAGGGGTAAGTCACTCAGCACATTGTGCTGAAATTAGATTCGGCACAGTTTGGGCACATCCATCGGCACACCTTAGGCACAATCTCGTAGGCATTGGATTGTTGTAAATAAAATGGGAGCACTGCTGGGCAACTGTCATTGAAGTTGTTCACAACATTACGTGCTGTTCGACCACAAACAAAGTGACAGAACACCTTATTTAAATACGGTTCGCCTGACGTGTATATCGTGGAAAGGGATGGAAAATCGTGTTTTAAGCAGAAAAACAAGAGCAGATGATAGCATCACAAACATGGCCGCCAGTCAGGCCCCTGCTGACGACCCATCGCTACCGATCAGCTGTGTGGCACATAGATACGTAGAATGAGTAGTAGAACAATCTAAGTTAAAAAAAAAAGCCGTCGCGGAGTAAACACGTCGTCCTTCGTCTTAAAAAAGTTGTAAATAGTTTTTTTTTGTTAATATTTTTGTAATTAGTGTTCGCGTGAATAAAAGTGTTTTATGTTGTGCAAAAACATCCTTTTCCTGTGTCCGAAATATTTTGACCGCGACGTGCACGAACATTTTGGGCCTTCAAACCGGATATTTCGCCAAATTCGGACACTGGGTGTGGTGTTTGTGCGAGGATAAAGTAGAAGATCCTCACTGTGGGCTGCTGTTTGTTGGTTCCAAGCACCATTCTTGGTAATATGCTGAATCTCCGTAACCTTATTCGCAACAAACAGCTTCCATCTGAACGACGACGAAGAAATCCAACACTTCACGATGGTTGAATCTGTCCAAAAGAAACATTTCGCTTCGATGCCAATATTGTACATGAACTTTAGGAAAAGGTGAGCTAACTAACAACCTTGCGATTTCAAACCATAACATTCATACCGGGTTACCAGGATGGGAATTACCAATACCAATGCATGAATTTGTATATTGCACGGCAAACCCAATGATACCATAGAGGTAACTCTAAGACCAGAAGGTCCTGAAGAAACGAGCTCAACTTTTTGGCTCAGCTCTAGTACTATCTTCGCTCCCAAGCTAATCGATGCACCCCTCGAATCATAGGAAAATTCACGAACCCCTCATTTTATCTGTCAAACTTTCATATGATTCGCTAAACAAACATACACTCAAAAAATATTAAAATCTAAATAGTATAAAAGCTACGCTAAATCGCAACTTCCTGATCGACGCATAGCTCGGTATAAAAGGAGAAAATGCAAACTTAGTATAAAAGTCCTGTATAAGGACGCGAGTATAAATTCATGTTATGCTTACTTTGTATTGTTTGACTTTAAGCTTGGGTTGCTTAATCTGGATATATCTGAAGGGTGATACTGATTGTTTGTTTTCTTTACTGTAATGAAAAAAAACATTGAAGCGCAACTAATTATTTTTATTTCTTGTGAAAATTACAAAAGATTTGCCTACTGGTTGATGCCATAGAGCTGCTGGGATTTGTTGTTCCTGGAGAAAGTCAATTTGCTCAACCCCGTTGCTGGAACATCTTTTAATTGGCCTTGGGAGGTTTTAGTTGAACTTCGATACAAAATGATGGCAGGTCACATTCATTCATCCAAATGCCCATCTCATTGGTGGAGTGGTTTTCGGTGTGGAACATGACATGGCTATGAGTTTCAACCGATCTTCTGCAGAAAAAAGTGGAACGCGTTGTACCACAGCAGCAGGAAGATGTTCTTGAATCCTTCTTTCTTTTGGCTATAGCACATTAGGTGCGAAGTGATGTCCTTCGATCGGAAGTGCAGTTCATCTATAGGGTGTATGGCAGAGAAGCTCTGGGAATTTCTGACAGGGTACGCAGGATCTTCGCGGGACAGACCTGGGAGAGTCACTGCAACGAGAGTTTTATGAGTGTGGCCTTCCGGGTTGACGTAGGTGTCTTGTTTCTCAGTGCAGGTAGCTTCCGGCAGGATGGTGTGGATCAGCTGCACTCTAGCATCACCGTGATGACTTTGGTTAAGACGAAGAAATCCTCCATCTTGACGACATCAGCGACGCACAAGATCCCAACCAGTTCAGCAGATCCTTAAGGGCAAATCAATGCTTCGGCATTAGTCCAATCATCCAGCAACTGCTCCAACTTGCCCTTGGGAACACTACTCAAAGCTTGGGCGATGGCAATTAGGGCCAAATCCCAGTCGACTGCTTCCAGTTCTCCACTCGGGTTGTGCAACATGGAGGCAATCAAACGCTGGTGCTTCAACCCATCACAAGCGATTTTTCTCGAGATTTTTCTTCAATTGTGAATTAACGAAGTTCGACGTTTTGTTTCACAGTTCACACAGTTCTTCGGAAAACACCCCGCAAATAGTAACCACAACTTTGTTTGAATATTTTGCTTGAATGTTGAAACTCAGTTACTGCTTTGCAAAAAAAAAAACACTGAACGAATTTCACGCCGATATTCGGACTTAGTATAATTTTGAATCAAAATTTAATCGTATCAATGTATAAACGTTGGTCAACCTTAAAATGATTAAATTTTAATCTTTCCTTGTTTAGTAATATTTTTGAGTGTAGATCGTGTAAATTTATGAGACATGTCATGCAATATTCTATATATTGTATGCAACTGTCCACTTTTATTTGCAACATTTCTTGCAAGCTGCTAGTTTGTGAAAAGGAAGATTATGAATGTTTGCATGCATGGATGTTTACATAGACCTTTTTGACGTTTAACCATCTTTCTCTATCTAACACACATGGATGAATGGACGGTTTGTTTTCCCACTAATCTGTTTCCCTCTTGCTCGCACTCGTTCGCTTTAAATGGTACAGTAGTGTGCGCCGATTAAACGTCAAAAAGCTCTATTGCCAGTAAAATTCAGATTTTTTTGGTGTGTGCCATGTGACACCTCTTTATTCATGGTTTTTTTTTACCAATAGGCTTTTTATAGACTTTCAATGGAGTATTGACCACATTGGCCACTTCCGGAGCCACCGGAGTGCCCCCGGGGGAACCTGTAGTAGGGGACAAATTCATTTTTACACCAAAACATGCCGTGCGACACCTCTTTCTTCATGTTTTTTTACCAATAGGCTTTCTATACACTTTAAATGGATCATTGACTACATTGGCCACTTTCGGAACCACCGGAGTGCCCTCGGGGGAACCTGTAGTAGGGAACAAATTATTTTTTTTCAATAATCATGTCATGTGACACCTCTTTCTTCATGGTTTTTCATAAATAGGATTCCTAAAGAGTTTAAATGGATTATTGACCACATTGGCCACTTCCGTAACCACCGAAGTACCCCCGGGGAACCTGCAGTAGGGTAAAATTTCATTTTTACACCAAAACATGCCATGCGACACCTCTTTCTTCATGGTTTTGCATCAGTAGGCTTTCTATAGCATTGAATGGATCACAACAACTGGAAAACAGGTTATCAGCTGATTTT